ATTCTGCCTTCTGCACAGAAGGTACTGTAAAGGGCAAGACAAAGCAGAAGGCTTTTTCCTGGCTTCCAGGCAAGAGAAAGACAGACTAGAACAACAACAGAGATGGCGAGGAGGATGTGGCATGTATTCTGAGGTTACACCTGCCAGACTCATGACAGCGTGGACGTGAAGGTGAGCAAAGACTCCTTCCCAAGCGTCATTACCGTCTACCCAGAGGGAACGACCTGGCCAAAGCTGAGAGGTCAACAGGCAGACGGAAGGCTGGAGGTGGCTGCAGTGGAGTCTGGAGGAATGAAGAGACGGCCCAGAGCACTTGTCCTGGAGAAAACCTGTCCCAGTTCTGGAACCTGACCTTGCAAGTCACCAGCTATGCCTCAAGCCAGTCACGTCTCCTCCCTAGGCCTCAGTTTCTTCACTTGCAGCAAATAGCAAACGATGAGCGCTCAAAATGCAAATTAAAAAGAAGTGTAAGGGCCACATACCCACAAGGATGCAGACCTACTTTGCCTGTGACATCTGGGGGGCCCTAAGCCCTGCAGGCGTGAGCTACTCAGTAGAACACAAGAGCACTTTCTTAAAAAAACGAGCCTCACTCTTGTTGGACAGCACACTGCCCAGAAGGGGGTAAACTGTAGCCAGGGATGCTATGGAAGGGGTTCCTGAAACAGAGGGCAGACACTCTCCCCAAGATTAAACACTCCTAGACTCGAGAAGAGCATATGCTGAAATCCTCAGGCAGGAGCAGGTGTCCGAGGGAGCAGGGAACTGGAGTCCAAAGGCCTGGGCTCTGGTCTGATCACCAGCAGCCTCGGCCAGGCACCAATCTCCCTCGGCAATACCTCAGGGCTGACATTTCTCCTGTTACCGGGCTATGGGGAGGCAGAGGAGATGACAGAAGGGGGAAGGCAAAGTACTGGAAGCCTCCAGAGCACTATCCGTGATGCAATGGCAACAGCATCACCAAATGTGTGGCCCAATACTTCAGAGTTTGTATTCCACTTTTATCAAATTACTATACAGTTACAAATCAGGAAGAGGAAATGGAGAATGAATGAGTATGAATGGGAATGAAGAGAAAGAGGAAGACCAAGGCAAAGAATGTGGAGAGGGAAATAGGGTGGCCCTAATGTGAAGGGGTAAAAATCACCATCAAAATTAAAATTAACTGGGCCGGGGATTTAGCTCAGTGGTACCGAGCCGGCCTTCCAAGCGCAAGGTCCTGAGTTAGATCTCTGGTACCAAAAAATAAATAAATAAAATAAAATTAACCTTGGCAATTCCTTATCAGGACAATAGCTTGTGGCTTTGCCCTCCATCACTGGGGCAGACTCCCGTTTCTTCAGGTGAGCGCATCCGAAGCAGTTCTCTTGAATGTAAGACCCAGGCTGCACAAAAGGCACTGAACTACAACTGACAAGAGGTGGCTCAGAGTGAGACAAATGCGGACTGAGACTCACTGAGGGACCATAGGTTCTCATTTCCCATCCTCAGCTTTCTTGGAAATGCCCCGGAATGGAAGAGAAGATTATTTTATCTTATTGCCTATTCGGTTAAATTTTCACGACTACTGTGGCTTTCCTCCCGATAGCCCGCCCTGCTTTCTCCAGGGTGTTCTTTTATCTTGCTTTTTACTTTTGCTCGGCCCAAGATCTGCAAAGCCAGTCTCCCTTCACTTTTACTTTTTCAAATAAACAATGCCACTGCTTTTTGCTTGTTTCATTCACTTCTTTGTTCAAGAACAAAATAAAATAAATTTTCACAAGCTGGTTGTGTGCATCAGGCCCCTCCTATGCATGCAAATGTAAAATCACACCCAGCCAGGGCTTTCCCTCTGGTACAAGGTTTCTGATTGGCAGTCGGGGAAGCTGTGGGCCGCTGGGTGAGAGGAAAGAGTTGCCCGTCATAACACAGCTGTCCTGAGGGACTGTGGTGGACTTTTCATAGTTCCACTCTCTAGGGTCTGTGCAGAAATCTTACACAGCAGAACCAAGGGAAATGGGGAGGTGCAGCGAACAAGTGGTGAAAGCAGTGACCATGAAAAACTAAGTTGAGCCCTTACAGGAACTTGAAGGCCTGGCAGCTGTTTCCTGGCAACTGGTGTACAGATTACTCAAAAAGCACACACTCTGAGTACTGGCACGGGAACATACCTCACAGCCTTCTCAGGGTTCGGAAGCAGAGAGGCGGCCTGTGAAGCCTTTCTGCTTCCTCTCTTACCACTCTGCCTTCCTTCCACTGGCTGGGGGCACAGGTCAGATTTCATCATTCTTCTTTTTAGCATTTGTTCATTCATTTGACAAGTATTTACTGAATGCCTACTTTATATCAGACATTCATTCAATGGCTTCCCCTTGCACTGGCTAAAAATCCAAAACCTCATCTCTCCAACTCATTGCCTAAACAAATCTCCCTTAAGCACTAAGGACTTTTTATTCTGCTTTTTCAACACACCAAGCTCAGCTCCACCCCAGGGCCTTTGCACTGACAACCTTCTCCCACTTTGGGCCTATAACACAGGCTGCATGGTTGGCTCTTTCCATCATTTCTCTCCATTCAAATGCCATCTTCTCAGAGAAACCTTCCCTGACCACCTCTCCAGACACTCTATCATATCAGTCTCCTCAGAGTGCATCCTGCTGAGATCATCTTATTTACTCCCTTAACGGCCTTCTCCCTGATTTGAATGCAAACTCTTCAAGGACAGGGATTATGCCATCTTCTTTGCTACTTACAACAGACCTTCACGAGGTATCTGCTGAATAAACAGACAACTGTTCAGGAAGCCCATTTTGGGGCACCTCAAAGTTGGTTCTGTGTTATCTAAACCATACCAAGTGCTCTTGTATGGCACTAGACAGAAACTGCTAACGTTTTACCTGACTGCCATGGCGTTTATGAAGCACTCTTCAACTGTCAGGGCCTCAGAGGTCAGGATGAAGCAGCTGTTAAGCTGGACTGTAGGGAGCCAATTTCAAAGGCCTGCAGACAAGGCTGAGCCGTGACACCACCAAAACCCTGGCTGCCGTGGGTGTCACGCGCTCCCCAGTTCACAGCACCCTGGGAGGGAGGTTACTCTGGTGAGGTTTCCCCCAGCAATCTGTCCTGACTCAGCCTGTCTCCTGGGAGTGCCCACGGCAATGTCCTGATAAATAAACTGACTCAGCACTCTACTAGCTGAAACCAAAACTTAAAGGATGCAAGGGCTTCTGGATGCTCCACAGAGACCCTACTGCTTTAAATGTATGGCAGTTTGTGGTGAGTTGCCCTAACACACAACTATGGCTCCTTGGATAGCAGAAGAGAAATATCCTGGCAAGGTGGAGTCCACTAACCATGTCCCCTTAGATCACCAACCCTCTCCCAGCAGTGATGCTGCTGTGGCCTTAAACAGCCTGGGGACTTCGGTACCCAGGCTGGTGTCCCTGGAAGCCTACAGTGGAGAGACCTGTGGGCCCGTCTGCTTCCTCTAGAGGTCACCCAACCTCACCCCACTGGGGAGAACTTCCTGGGCCAGCTTCATAGCCAGGGATCTGTGGGTGCAGCCTCATCAAAATGGGGACATTTAAAAAAGGGGGGGGGGCTGGGGATTTAGCTCAGTGGTTCTGCTGCCTGCCTCACAATCACAAGGTCCCAAGTTCGATCCCCGGTACCAAAAAAAAGTCTTTATAAACTCAAAATGGGGACATTTAATCTCTCCCCAGTCCTGCACTTCCAGAACCTGACCTTCCGAGGGACCTGCCCCACCAGCGCCCACCCTGCTCAAGACTATCCTCTGGTAACCCGTGGGAAAGCTAATCCTGAAACAGACCCTCAGGTTTCATCCTTCCCCCAGTGGCTTTCCTTGATCTACCAGGAATTGGAAGGAGCTGTCCCCTGGGAGAACCCTTCATTTCCCCTTTGCCTGTCCTTCCCCAAACAGTCACCCAAGAGTTCTCATTTCATCTGTTCTTCTCCTCACTCCTGCCCAGCCAACAGGGAACGTTTGAGTTGAGTCCACATATTTGTTTTAGGTCTCCAAAGGAGTGGAAGGGAGTGTTCGGTCTCACCAAACAGACATTTCCCTACCCAATACACGAAGAAGAGATTTTTCTCCTAAAAAAACCCCAAACAAACACCTGTCTGGAAATGGATCCTTTCGTGCTCTCCCCACTGCAGGAGCCTTCTTTCGGTTGGCACCCGTCCCAACACAAACCCCAAGTCTCCCAATTCACCTGTTCTTCCCCACCTAATATTCTGTTCCACTCCCAGCTTGTCTCCTGAAACTTAATTTTAAGGAATCCATCTGTCTCCTCAAACAGGGTAATGGTGGGTGGTTTCACTATCGGTCACCTCAATAAATAGGACCCTCTGGTAACTGACTGTCTCCCCCTGTCGCTCATCCTGTGCAGATGCCCTTAATTCCTCTGAAAGCAGCCACTCTTCCTGTAATCAACAGACTTGCTGAGCTAACCATTCCCAAAACTAAGGCTGGAACGGGTCCCGCAGACCGTGAGAGATCCCTACAGCCACCCCTCCGGATCTTGTCCCCTCCTCCCATTCGGCCCCAGAGGCTTCCCCGAGGTGCCCTCCGACCGACATCCGAAGGCTCCCCCCTCGTCCATCACCCAGCAAGGGACTTCTGTCCGCAGAAGTGTCTGGGGGACCTGGATCTAGGGGACCCCTCGATCCCCCGACTTCTCCCGAGAGCCCCGGGCTAGGCCCTCGCCCACTCCGGTCCCCAGCAGCACAGTGGGCCGGGCTCTTCCTCTCCGCCGGGCCTCACACCGCCTGGGGAGCCTCTGGGCCTGGCCGCGCCGCCCACAGTCCCTCAGGCCCCCACCCGTGCTTCCGGCCGCCGCCTGCTCCTCCTCCCCCGTCGGGCCGCGCGGGTCGCCGCCGCAGAGCCCCGCGGACGGGGAACCGCAGAGACAGGCGCCCCACTGCAAGGGCTTTCGCAGGTCCTCACGTTCCGGCTCAGGCCCGCACCCCCTCGGCCGGCTGGGCCCGGCGCCCCCGCTCACCCGAGCCCGTGGTGGCTGCCATCTTGCGTCGCTGTAGCTCGAAGGCCGGCCCCTTCTTCACCCCCCACCCGGGCCCGGGCCGTGACGCGCAGGCGCGCGCCCACACGCACGCGCAGACGACACCGCCCGCTGGCGGACCCGCGCGCCCCTGACCAAGAAAGGAGGTCGCTTGTTTGCACGAGCGGAGGCTTCCGGTGCGCGAGGGCCCAGCAACCTGCAAGTCTCCCGGGCTCCGGCGCGAGGGAGGTGTGGGCTACTGCTTGAGAGGGGTAAGGGTGTTAGGTCTGGGCGGGCTGCGGTTGTGAGTAAAAGGAGGAAGGGAGGTGCAAAACAGCGCGTTTCGTCTCGGGCACTTTGCTACCTAGTTGACTGCTCATATCCTTCCTACAAGCTCAGGATTAATGTGAAAATTGAAGCTGAGAGAGATGAAGGGATTTCTCTGAACTTAAGTGTTAAGTGGCTGAGTCAGTTTGAAGCCAGGCCTGATGGTCTTACTTCCAGGGCCATTGTTGCCCGGCCAAAGGAGACTTGGGACGGGGCACAGTTAAGGGGTAGGGAGCATGCAGGCCACAGGAAAAGCGTTCACTCATCCAGCCACCGGTTCATTCATTCCTTCACTCATCAATCCATTCATTCGCTCATCCGAACCAATATTTATTAAGCACCTACTGTGTGCCAGGCACTGTGCTAGTTGCTGGAGATGGAAATACATCCTCGAAGAAGCAAGTTCCTACGCTCAGAGGCTTAGAGTCCGTGGCAGATGGAGAGCAAGGAAACCAATAAATAGGACACTGTAATCATTATAGGTTCGAGAATAAGCCTGTGATGGGGCAGCAGGGAATGGCCAGGCAGGACCTCCTGAGCTGGTCACATTTCAACAAAGACCTGAATGATGCAAAGGAAGTAGAAGGAACACCATGTGCAAAGGCCCTGGGGACTTATTATTTAAATAAATAATAAATCCAACACGAAACTCTTCCTTTGTCATAAATGGCCTGAGAAGCCCTTACATGGATGTGGAAAGGAAAGCTGAGAAAGATGCAAGGTCACATGGCTAACCCCTAGCGCAGTAAGGGTCATTGTTCATCGGACAGCAGCGCTTACTAAGCTGTTCTCCACCCCATCCGCTGCTTCCACTCAGGTGGGCGGCTGTTGTCTCCCACGTGGATGTCCTCGGCAACCTCCATTCTCCATATGGCAGTCAGTCTACTCAAAACACCCTCCTGCTGAAGCCTTTAAATGCTCCCCATTCCCTCTACAAAACAGTAGGAGTTGAGTAGCCACAGAATTACCCAATGAAACTGGGCAATTTAGTAACTTATACAGATCCTGTCTCAAAAAATAAAAAGGGCTGGGGATGTAGCTCAGTGTGAAGCCCCTGGGTTCCACCCACAGTACTTTGCCAAAAAAGGGCCAGAGATTTAGCTCAGTGGCACGGCGCCTGCCATGCAAGCGCAAGGTCCTGAATTCATTCCCCGGTACCGAAAAAAAATTATCCAATGAAGACACACATCAGACCACAGAGAGCTTTTACAATCTCTCCAGGCCATGGGCGCTGTACTCACAAAGCTCTGCACAGAGGCTGGGACTAGGATGGGGCTAGTGAGGTCCAGGACATCAAATTTCAGGAGGGTTCAGCCTGGTCCAACTCAGCTTGCGACCCTGTGGGTGCCTCGCTTGCCCCTGCCTGGCCTTGGCACTACTAGTGCCTGAGACGTGCTGCACCTCCAGTACCTACTGGCACTTTGCAAAGCCTCTGGAGCACACCATGCCCTGTCCCTCCCCTGCCCAAACTGTCCCCAGATCCATCACCCTCTCAGGGAAGCCCTCTCTGATTTCTCCAACCAGCTCAACTTCAGCTCTACTTGGCTCTCAGCGTGCCAGGTGTTCCCCCTTTCCAGGCACAGGCAGTTCAACTTCATGTCATTTTATATATCACATGGTACAAAATTTGCCTTGGGGAGCACACAAAATACCTGCCCCGGACATTGGGTCATTGTAAAGCATGAGCACGGGCAGAAACATTTGTTCCCCAAAGGTAGACTCACTTGAGAAGTGAAAATTTCTAGGTTCAAGACTTTCTTTGCCACTTTGCTGTGTGACTTCAAGAACGAGACATGAAACGTTCCAGGCATCAGTTTCCCTTCTGAAAAGGGAGAGGATAGCATAGACCTGAGACTTGCTATGGAGACAAAATATTTTGATAAAATCCCTTGGCCCACGGAAGAGGGACACCAGAAAAGCTGACATGTGCCAAGCCATTATATCCCACTCCCAACTTGATGCAGCACTTCCTAGGAATATACCTTTTATTTCCTTTAAAAAAAATTTTTTTTTTAGACAAGGTCTCACTACATCCTCCAGGTTGGCCTTGAACGAGCAATCGTCCTGCCTCAGCCTCCAGAGTGGTCGGATTACAGGTGTGTACCACCGCAGTAGGTTCCGGAATATCTCCGTTTTAAAGATAAGAAAACATACTCAGAGCCAACAAGTGGAGCGAAGACGAAAACATGAGCCTCTTATCCACGATACTCAAAGTTTCTACTCGCATAGATTCTCTGGTTCTCGTAGGGAATATCTTGCAGGCAAAATTGATAATAACGCAAATTCCCGTGCAAGGTATAGCGCAGGAGGACGAGGTTAAACCGCATGTTTCAGAGCATACTGGTAGCTGTAGTTCAGCGGTCTCGGCGCATGCTGGGAGTTGTAGTACTCACACTCCGTACGAGAGGCTCCGCCCTTTTTGGACGTCACATCCAGGCCCCAGTTCTGCACCTCTTGGCTCTGGGCTTGAGCTGATAAACTCAGCTGACGGGATAAGAGAATCTTGTTTTATCGGATTGTTGGGAAGCTTAAAATGGTTAAAAGAACTAGAGAATTTAGAGGAGGGCTTGACACTAAGTGCTGTATAAATAAATATTAATTGCTATTATTTAATTCTCAATGACCCTTACAAATTAACTGTTTCCATCTCCATTTGTCAAATGAGGAAACTGAGGCTCATAGGAGTTATTGATTGATTGATTGATTTTTGAGACAAGGTCTCGCTATGTAGTCCAGGCTGGCCTCGAATTTGCAGCGAGAGTCCTGCCTCAGCCTCCTGAGTGCTGGGATTACAGGTGTGTGCCACCAGGCTCGGTTTCAGAGAAGTTAAATAAATGAGTTAGAATTAGATGTTAAGGTCACACAACAAAGAAGGAGTAAAACCAGTTTTGGAATCAGCTGCTTTTAACCTTGGGGCGCCTGCTGGCTCCCTGAAGTGAGGGAGGTGGAGCCCAGGAGATTTTAAACAAAATATACAAAGTAGATCTGTGTTTTCATAAGGTGCAGGGTGGCTGCTGCCTCAAGGCGACTGAATTGGGCAGCAGCAAGATTGGAGGTGGAGGAGTGCAGAGAGGAGGTGCATTGCATTCTACTGACTGCCAGAGTTGCCATGTTCCCACATGGGGAAAGGGATGTTTGAATCATTTCCCTCACCTGGTAAAAGCTGGGGAAGAAAGCCTGTTCTGTCTTGTTTCCTTCTTTGTATAATATGAGGTTGTGATAGTTCGAGCTGTGGCAACCACAATGAGACCATGAGGCACAAGTCTCACCAAAAAGCTAATACTCTGAATGTGCCAGCACAGAAAAATCGCAAGAGCTAGGTTCTGGAAGATATGATTGAGCTACTGAAGGAATCTGGGGCTGCCTACCTACAGACATCTTAAGGCATGAGAGTGTAAATGTCCCTTAATCTGTTCTCAAAGGCAGGTTTTTGTACAGTCCGAAAACATGTAATAAATATAGGAAACTGGCCCAGTCAGAGGTCCGGTCCAGAGGCTATAGATTTGACTGTCCCAAGTATTCATTCAAAAGCTGTGTTCAGGCTGGCCGTGGTGACGCACACCTATGATCTCGGCACTCAGGAGGCTGAGGCAGGAGCATCATTGCAAATTCAAGGCCAGCCTGAACTACATAGTGAGACTGTCTCACCCCCCCCCCCAAAAAAACTATGTTCAAACAAGGTGGGCTGTTTCAGAATTTCTGGATGTTAAAGACATGGGTGATTTGAAAAGAAGTATATTAAAAAAAGTAAAAACATAAAATTATATAATGTTTTCCATAGCTAGGTGTGGTGGCACACACATGTAATCCCAGCACTGGGGAGGCTGAAGTGGGAGGATAGCCAAGAGTTCAAGACTAGCCTGTGCTACACATAGTGGGTTCAAGGCTATCATGGACTGCATAGTGAGACCCTGTCTCAAAAAACAAAAACATATAATGTTTTCCATAATATGTTTATATTCCCAGTTCATAATTGAGGAAAAGAAAACCCTAACCCCATGCTATAGTGTTTATTTATTTATTTGGGTTTTTTGAGACAGGGTCTCATTATGTAGCCAGGGCTGGCCTCAACATGCAGCAATCCTTCTGCCTCAGCCTCCAGAGTGCTGAGATCATAGGCATGTGCCATCATGCCCCGCTCATATTGAGACATTATAATGTGTGATTAAAATAAAATATACAATCACAAAGGTGTGGGAGTGGGTGAAGAAGGGCACAGTACATTTCACTCACTCCTCTGTTGATGGACATCTGGGTTATTTCTTTCTTTTTTTATTTTGCTAAGCATATGTTCTACCCCTGAGCCCCAGCCCAGCTTCTGCCTTACACAATTTATTTCTTCAATGTCTGAATTTCATATCATTTGTTAATCTGTGGTCAGGGAAAAAGGAACAAAGGGCAAAGGTCTGGGTGGGGGTGAGGGGAATGATAGATTTGGAGTTAATTCATAGAGTTCTTGCAATTCTTAAAAGGCTGGGTGCGGTGGCATACACCTGTAATCCCAGCACTTGGAAGGCTGAGGCAGGAGGATTGCTACAAGTTCGAGGCCACTCTGAGCTACATAGTGAGTACAAGACCACCCTGAACTGCATAGCAAGACCCTGTCTCAAAAAAACAAGAAAAGAAAATAGGGCTGGCATGTGGCTCAGTGGTACAGCGCTTGCCTAGCACACACAAGGCCCTGGGCTCAAACCCTAACACCATAAAAAGGAAAAAAAGAAAACCAAAAACCTCCCAAAAGATAATAATTATAGCAAACATATATCAAGCATTTACTGTGTTCCAGGAACATGGTGCTTTGCATTTTCACAACTAGCCTGTGATGTAAGCACAGTACCCTAACATCCCCTATTTTACTCATAAGGCAGATGAGACAGAATAGTTGAATAACTTGCCCAAAGTCACAAGCTTATAAGTGGCAGAGCTGGGATTTGAACCCCAAGCCCTTAACCACTACTACCCTATCTTCCAGGAAAACTGGAAAAGAACACGAAGATATAAAAGAAATGCAAATGACTTTTCAACTCACAGTAAGATATTCAATCTCACTCAACATGTTGTATTTCAGTGATTCTAAGATAGAACTTTTACATTCAAACATCTGAAATCAGGATGCCCCTTAAGACCTCTTAGATTCAGTGAAATATGGTAAAAGAAATGCAAATGAAAACCACCTATCAGATGGGCAGAGGACTCAACATCTGAGGACACCCTTTGTTGGCAAGGGTGTGGGAATTGGGCTCCCTCAGAGCTGTGAGTAGAAACGGCATAGCTGCAGTGGAAGGCTGGAGTGAGGTTGCGCAACTTAAATCACAAGCAGCCTTTGGCCCTGATGCAGTTTCCAGGAAATGGGCCTTTGGATCCACAGGCCCTACAGAGCAAAGACTAAGAGCTCTGTTGCCGGTAAGCTCAGTTTGTAAGACCCCAGTGTGAAAATAATCTCTACACCCAGTGAGATGAGTTCTAAAAATGCAGAGAAAGCCTGGTGCCTGGCGCACACCTGCGAGCCCAACTTTGAAGGAGGCCAGACTGGGGAATTTAGTGAGGTCCTATCTCAAAAATAAAAAGTGAGGTTCAATCCCCACTTCAGAAAAACAACAACAAAAGATCGAGTCCACTCAGACATTAGAAAGTTACACAGCTGAAAAAGGAATAAGGAAATTATCTGATTATAGATAATAATACTATCTCAAAGTTGGGCGTGGTAGTGCACACCTGTAATCCTAGCACTTGGGGGGCTGAGGCAGGAGGATTCCTGCAAGTTGGAGGCCAGCCTGGGGTACATAGTGAGCTCAAGGCCAGCCTCAACTACAAAGGGAGACCCCCCCCTCCAAAAAAGCAAAAAAAGAGCACTACCTCCAAAGTATATTAAATGAAAAAAAGGAAAGGAAAGGGAGAGCTGTATGCATCATGTCCGCATTGGGTGTGAAAGGGGTGTGTGCTTCCCTAAGGGGCTTGCAAGGGTCTTGTCAAAATGATGGTCTTAGAAGGGGACTGAGGGCTGGGGGACACAACAGAGGAGCAGCCTACTCTTTTCAGGGGTGGTAACCTTTTCCTGTAAAAGGGCCAGAGAATAAATATTTTAGCTTTGTGCTCGGTTGCTCTATGTTGCAACCATTTGTTTACCTCAGTTGCTACAGAGCCAGAGCCACAGACAGTAGGTAAATGAATGGGCGTGGTTGTGCCAATTCAGCTTTACAATGGACACTGAAATTGGCAGGGCAAGCGTTGTAAAATACCCACCCCACACAAACATGTGTGAAATGCTTGTTAGCCAACCATGGTGGCGCATGCCTGTAATTCCAGCATCCTGGGAGGCTAAGGCAAGAGGATGGCAAGTTTTTTTATTTTTAGATTTTAAAAATAAATTTTATTTTATTTTATTTCATTTTATTCCATTCCCTCCTCAAGCCCTCCCCCCTCCCTATGTACAAAAGCTTTGTTTCCATTTTTTCCTTCTATTTTCACTTTTTTTCTTGTCCCTTCCTTCCTTTCTCCCTCCCTCCTCCATTTCCCTTCCCCTTTGAACACTTTCTTCCCATTTCCCAACATCCATTATACATCTCAGTCCTTATTTCCACATTCAGTTTCTCCAGGATGGCAAGTTTAAGCCCATACTGGGCAATTTAGTAACTTGTTGAGACCCTGCCTCAAAATACACAATGGAAAAGGAGGCTGATGTGCTTGCTTCGGCAGCACATATACTAAAATTGGAACGAAAAGGAGGCTGAGGGTGTAGCTTAGTGGAAGGTCCTGGGTTCAGCCCTCAGTACCACCACTACCACACACCCACACACACACACACACACACACACAAAAACAAGTTTGTGGGCCATAGAACAGCCACTGACCACAGTCAGCTGACCGTTCCTCTTCCCCCTTTTTATGGTTTGGTTCATATTCCTTACATTATGCAAGTAAGACTTCTTACAAAACAATATGTCAAAGGGTGGGCTGAATATTCCGAGTTTATCCATGGGGCTGGGTTAACGTTGGGGGCAGGCAGCCTGAGGCGAGCACCTACATCCCCTGTAAGAGAGACAGGCCCAGGGCCTGGGGGGGGGGGGGGGGCTACCCATTTGCTCTGCATGTTTCCTACCTTGCTCTGCCACCAGAGAGCAGCACAAGCCTACCTGAAACCGGGCCCTCCCACCACAGCCACAGGGTTGGCCTAAGCAACTGTTTTATTTTGGCCACAGTGGTTTGTTTGTTTGTTTGTTTGGTATCTGGGATCGAACTCGGGTCCTTGCACTTGCGAGGCGGCCACAGTATGTTTTAAACATATAGCCATCATTGTAAAAATCTGCATTACTGCCATTTCTTTTTTTTTTTTTTGCCAGTACTGGGGATTGAACCCAGGGACTTTGCACTGAGCTAAACTTCCAGCCCTTTTTCAAAATTTTGAGACAAGGTTTCTAAATTGCCCAGGCTGAGCTCAGACTTGCTGTCCTCCTGCCTCAGCCTCCCAGGGAGTGCTGGGATGATAGGCTTGCACCATAATCCTCTTTTATGGCTCCTCTTTTGTTAGCTGATATGAGTAGCACTGAACTCTGGGGCCTGGTGTCTCCAGGTCATCTTGTCTCCAAGTCAGCAGCCACTTCTCACATGGAAGATGTTTTTGCCAAAGGACACATTTCTCACTTGTCACCTGCCTTGCCTTCTCCTTCCACTGGGATGCCTGCTGGATGTTAGAAGCCAAGGGTTCTGCTTGTACCTTCAGCCACCTAGCAGCTGTGTGACCTTGGGGATGATATAGGACCCTGTGCCTCAGATTCCCCATCTGCAAATGGGGCTAATAGCAATCACTGCTTAGAGCTGCAGAGACTGCATTTGTTTGTATTTTTAAGCCAGGGCCTCACTATGTAGCCCAGGCTGGCCTTGACCTCACAGCGAGCCTCCTGCCTCAGTCTCCTGAGTGCTGGGATGACAGGCGTGTGCCACCATGCCTGGGTTGCAGGGCCTGCTTTTGGGGCCTGTGCAGAGCTCTCTGTAGTTTGGAGTGTGGTCATTATTCGGTAGAATCTGAGTAGCATTTTCCCATCTGGCTGTCATGCACGCTGTTTGCAAGCCCCACCTCACAAGTGACCCCAACTCTCTCTAATCAGAGCAGAACATTTCTTCTTGTTTGTGAAAGTATTCAGGAGATGCAAGATAAAGAGTTTCAGGCCCAGCTCTCTCATTAGTAGCTGTGGGACCTTGTGCTTTACCGCTCTGGGCTCAAGCTGAGATTTTTTGCCGGCTCCGGGAACTGGCACAGGTTGGCAGGACCTGGGATCAGGAAGCCAATCCCTGAAGCCCTGAAGCTGCTCATCTGGCCCCTCTGGAGTGTGGCTGCCTGTCCCACCCTAGACTCTCTTGTAGTTAACAAATTTTGTTCCTGGCAGCTCCCGCCCTTCTGTTGTTTGGCAACCACAGAGGACCTGTTTCAGCCCTGGCCAATCAGAACAGTTCATCCCCCTTGGGCCAAGATGATTGATTCAGGGGCAGACAACGTGACCAATGAGAGCTTGCCCTGGGACTTTCACTGTAACCACTGGGAGGAAGACTACTGAGATTGGTGAGTTGAAGCAATGTCAAGTCTCAACTCAGAAAAACTGGGCAGAGGCAGAGACCACGTTCTGATCCTGCCAAACCCTAAGTCAAAACCACCTGTGGACTTTTCTGTTTTATGAGCTGATTCAGCTATTTTTTAAAACAGAGTCTTGCTGTGTAGTCCAGGCTGGCCTTGAACTATGTAGACTAAGCTGGGCTCAAACTGATAGCAATCTTCCTGACTCAGCTTCCCAAGTGCTGAGATTACTTGGTGGTGTGCACTACCACACGTGGGTGATTCAGTTACTTTAGGTATCAATTTCTGCCTTAGTTTTCTGTCACTTAGAGTCGACAAATCCTAATACCCCTTTCCTCAGTAACAAGTCTACTGGTGGGCAAACTTGAAGGAAAATGAAGTTATGGGTCACATTTTAAAAAAATAAATGCTATATCTGTGACTGCTCTGGAGTTTTAAAATCTCCCTGTTCCCAACACACCAGGCTTGCTTTTCTTCTCAGTAATGTTGCAGACACTAGCTCAGAGTTTGTGAGCTCAAACTTGGGGGTCCCATACATTAGGTAAGTGCTCCACCTCTGCCCTATACCTCCAGCCTAGATTGTGTGCATAGTGTTCACTATTGAATCCTAGTGCCTGGCCCATAGGAGGTGTCTTACAATTACTTAGTCAAAGAATAAACAAGTTACTTCTTTATCTATCTAATAGGTCCAGCAGCTGGACCTCAGCCTGTGAGGCTCTGTAAGAACTGTCTGGTTTTCTTTTTTTTTTTTTTTTTTTGGTACCGGGAATTGAACTTGGATCCTTGTGCTTGGGAGACAGGCACCAGAACCAGAGCTAAATCCCCGGCCCGAACTCCCGTTTTTCTACCTGCATCTTTCCTCTTAGTTTAGTCTCAGCCTCACTGTCGTTCAGCCTCAAGCATGTTCCTACCTCAGGGCCTTTGTACTTCCTGACCCATCAAGAGGCTCCTCCCCCAGTTCTTACCTTGCTGGCCCTGCCTCCTCCAGGTCTCACATCTCCTCAGAAACGCCTCTGCCCGGAACAGTCCCATCCTGCTTTTCCAGTGTGGTTCTATCCTGCTTGACTTTCTTCACAAATCACCATCTGAATCTCCATGTGCATTTATTATATTTATTGTCTCTTTCCCCCGTTGGCCATTTCCACCCGGGCACTTCCTGGTACCCCAGTATCCAGGCCAGAGCCTGGCACATCTTAGGTGCTAATAAACCCATGTGCAAGGGATTCTCCAACCTGAGTCAGCCTTCGTTACTCTGTCCCGATGTACTTGAGGACCCAGTCCCACAAAATTGGGGTCTTCTCCCAAAGTGCCGGAAGCACATATCACTACTGATTCAGTCTCAGGTGACAAGGCGACCATCCCGAGGCTGCAGTTGGAGGACCTGGGAATGGGGTTGGGGGCCTCACCCCGGCTCCTCACACCTCCCCTCTGGCAGGAAACACCAGGCAGCCAAGGTTAAGGAGACTCTTGGTGCTTTGTTATAAATATATTACGTACATCCAAAACATGACATTAAAATATTACTCCATGTTACAGAAAAGATATTAAGGCTTTCTATTATTTACATTAAACAAGCAAGCACCTTTAAAAAAAAAACAAAAAAATAAAAAAGCCCCGCTCTTCCTCCTCTGACACACCTGGGCCAGAAGGGACAGTGTCCTTCCTCTTCCCAAATGACCAAGACCTCTTGCAAATGCCATGCCTGGTGAAGAGGTCCCCTGTTGGAAATGTCAGATCTGCTGGAATAGGGGGGCAGATGGAGGCGGGCGAGAAGGGGGTGTCGGAACTTGGGTCGGGACTCCAGCTGCTTCTGGCTGGCTGCCCTCAGACCCCTGCCCCTGTGATCAGTTTGCAGGGCTGTGGTGGGACAATGATCTGGGGATACTTGTGTGTCCCAGGGACTCCCCAGACCTCTGGGGCGGGAGAAGGAAGGGCAGATAGAGGTGACGTGGTGGTCTCAAAGCCAGCCACGCTGAAGGGCTACCTGGGGCAGGGCAAGGCAGGGCAGGGCAGGGTGTACAGAGGTGGGTGGCTGCCTCTGCCCGAGGGATGGCCGGCAGGGCAGGCTCCCTCTTGTGCAGTCAGGCTTGGCAGGCAGAGCAGCTCAGGAGGCCAAGGAAAGAAAATGAGAAGAGGAAATGAAAAACCAGTGGCTCAAGTATTCTGTGTCCCAGGGGGTGGGCTGGGGTGCCCAGGCCCAGCCCAGGAGGTGTCCCCTCCACTCAGAGAGGCCAGCTCGAGCAGGCTGGGGTTTGGCAGATGGCTTTGTACTGGGGCTAAGGGAAGGTTGGCAACCAAGTGGCAGGCTGGAGAAGCTACTTGATCTTCTGGGCCCATTTCATGTCATCTGCCCGAGGCTTCTCGCCCGTCAGGCCCTGGATGAGGTCCTCCAGACGCCGCCAAAAGCCCATCTTCTCCAGGGGCCAGTTGAGCCAGCCTGTGGCAGAAACAGCACAGGGTGGGGTGAGCGGGAGCCACCGTCCGTGGGGCACGGGCCCATGGGAAAGGCTCTGCAGAGGGAGGGGACAGCACCACCCATGACACCTGGGGTGGGGGCTCCCACCAAAGGCCTCGGGCTGCTCCCCCAGGCAGCTCCCCCACCCCTCTGCTAGGAAGCCTTCCCGACTGCCCACGGAAGCTGCCCTCCAGGTCTGTCCCCACTGCTCTTCATTTGTATATGGCCACTGTGACAATCTGTGAGTGCTGCCCTTAAACTCAGCTAAGGTCAGCACTGACAGGGAGAGCACCAGGCTCTTTCCACAGTGCCTGGGAGGGCTCTGGCTCCCAGGAAGTGCTCCCTGAAGAGCACTCCAAAGCTCCAAGCCGTAGCCATATGATGGCCTCCCATTTGCCTGCAAGGCAGACAGGAACACGGGTCCTGTCTTGCACATGAGACCGAGCTCGGGGAGGAGCTTCTGGTTAGTAGGTAGTTAATGTGCTTCCTAAATGACCTCAGTTCTACCCCCAAACCTGCCCTCCAAGGAGTGGGGTTTTAGGATGTGCAAAGAGTATTTTGTGGCTCTCAATGCCATCTCCAGAGATGGGGAAACCCAGCAGCGGCAGCAGTAGCGTATCAAGCACCTACTGTGCACCAAGCACTACACTCAGCCATCTCCCCACGCCCACCACGGCCCTGAGAAAGTGGGCTGTGAGGAGGGGTGCTGAGACCCCGACTTGTGGTGACGAAAGTGACTAGCACCAGGAGTCTCCCGAGGGCACATATGGGACAGCTGGAGGCAACTCTGGGGTGGCCTGACTTGTTTTTTAGTATTGGGGATGGAACCCAGGGGTGCTCTGCTACCAAACTACAGCCAGCCCTTTTTATTTTTATTTTTTGTGTCTCTGAGACAGGGTTTCGCTCTATACCCCAGGCTGGCCTCAAATTCAGAGATCCTCCTGCTTCGGCCTCCCACGTAGGTGGGACTCAGCCTGGTTGCATGTTCTGAGAACATCCTGGAGGGCTGGAACTGCAGGCCCTCCCTCTGTGACCTCTGACCCCGCGGATGGCGCTGCAGCTGGAGCTGTGGGAGCTCGGTCCTCGCCGCCAGTGCCACACCTGTGGTGATGCAGAAGTAGGTCTCGTGGGGTGAGACGTGGTGGATGCGGTGGTGTTTTCGCGGCAGGATGATGTGCCAGTCCTGCAGGAGGGTGACCCAGCGTGGCAGCCCAAAGTATGTGTGTGACCACTTGTGGATCTGGTTGGTGAAGGTGCCGAAGATGGTCAGGCAGAAGACAAAGCACTCCCAGGGGTACAGCTGCTCCAGGGCTTCTGCAGGAGGCAGGAGAGGACCCGCAGAGCTGTCACACGGGCAGCAGATGATGGAGGGGCAAGGGCTCAGAATGGAGCACTGCGGTCAGCATGGGCCCACCCCAGGTCCCTGCCCTCACTTCCTGGTGGTATCGGCTTAGGGTGAGGACTCTGCTCTTTGAGTTTCAGTTTCTTTAGGTTTTTTGGGGTGGGGGGGGGGGGGCAAGGTCTCGCTGGCTGGCTTTGAACTCACTATGTAGCCTAGGCTGGCCTCAAGCCTATCCTGCCTCAGCCTCACAAGTTCTGGGATTACAGCCATGTGCCACCATTCCTGGCCATGGGTCTCAGTTTTTTTCACTGTAAAGTGGGAATAAGGCTTTCACCCAGAAAGCAGAGCCTGGGCAGCTTACGTGCATGTGATTTATCTAGGGGGTCTCCACCTGATTTCATGAGGTGCTCTGGGGCACTACTGTCTCTAGAGCTGGCCCACCCAGACTTATCCAGAGGGGTGAGGCAGGACCTCCCCACCAGGTCAGTGCAGGAGGGGTGGCAGGGAGGGTACCACCCGCCCACAGATCCTCATAGCCTCCCCTGAGAGGTGCCCACAGCACCAGTGAAGTGCAGGGCTGTTAGAGAAGGACAAGGGCCCCCGAGCGACTGCCTCTGCGCCCGCTGGCTGGATTGGCTTGCCTGGGGACAGACCCTCCCCAAACAGGCAGCACTGAGGCCTGAATTAGCGGCACTTTTTCTGGGCAATGCTAGGGATGGAAACTTTGGCCTCGTGCATGCTGGGCAAGTGCTCTACACCGAGCCACAGCCTGTGCCCCTTCTGCCCAAAGCCTCAGGGCAGGCAGGTACTGCAAATGAACATGTGGGTCAGGGGCAGAAGAACAGGGATTAGCGAGGACTTAGGTCAACTGGGGCACATGTGTGCTGTCATAGGAGGTGGATACACTTTGGCTCCAGCTTAATGAAGCCAGGAAGGGACAAGGACCCAGGTGGCCCCGGTCCCTGACGGATGGGATTGCCAGAGAAAAGTCAGGAACCCAGGTCTTTATGTCAAACATCCCCCATCCCCACCCCGGCTTTGAGGCACTGGGGACTGAACTAGGACCTTTGCACTAAGCTACACCCCCAGCCCTTTTATTTTGAGACAGGGTGTCACTAAGTTGCTCATGCCGGCCTCGAACTTGAGATCCTCCTGCCTCAATCTTCTAGAGTGAAATACCCCACTTTTATGTGACGATGACTGGAGAGAATATTTTAAATAACTATGAGCAGGGCTGGGTGAGGACTGCTGCAAGTTCAAGGCCAGCCTGCTCTTCACAGTGAGACTGTCTCAAAAATCAAAAAACAAACAAAAAAATCACTGTGAGCAGCCCTGCACATACCTGCAAGCCCCAGAAACCTCCTGGGGAGTTTGTCCCTGATGCCCCTATGGGTGCTCCACCGACTGGCTGGCCTTACCTGTCCTCTGGGTGCAGAACTTGTAGGCCATGTTTAGCAGTGGCAGCAGTGTCACCAGGCAGTTGTCGCCATTGGTCTCGATGAAGTCGTGCCTTGTGATGGCCGTGGGGTCAATGTGGTGCTCCCGGAACGGGCGGATGAATGCCTGCAGTGGGTTGAGCACCGCCAACCGGTCAGCTATGGTGCCCAGTGCTCTCTGGCCCAAAACGCGCCTGCCTTGGGCTCGCCACCCTGCCTTTGCTGCTCCCGCCGCTCCTTTTGGGCCACCCCACTGACATCGAGGTCTAGCAACTGCAGTGGAGATGGGTTGAAATGTCCCCAGCAGAGACCTTCTGTGCCTCTGGCCTCAGTTGTGCTACGAGGGCTTGGAGACACTTCCACCCTGCTTCTCCACCCTGAGATATTTGAAGGCCTATGAGGTAAAAGATGGGACCATCTTGGTGTCCCCAGCATCTAAGTCCCTCCTTTGGGGAGCGGACTCCCCTCCTCACAGTACAAGCTGTCCTGACAGGGCGGACTCCATGAAGGGGCTGGCCATTAATGAGAGGAAAACTGAGGCAGAGACGGAGACATGGGGAGGAATACTGACAGGCTGGCCTCTGGGCCCCACCATGCCTCAATTTGGCTTCCCTTGAGTTTCAGTTATGTGAATCAGAAACCTTGTTTGAGTAGAATAGAACAGTTTGGATTAGATTTTCTTTCACAAACAAAAAAGTTTCACTGGTACAAGATAAAATCCAATTAAAAGCCAGGTATGGTGGAACACGCCTGTAATCCCAGCACCCTGGGAGGCTGGGGCAGGAAGATCACAAGTGTGAGTCCAGCCTGCGTAATGAAGCAAGATTATTTCGAAAGTGGAAAAAAAAAAAAGCTGGGGATATAATTCTGTGTAAAGGCCCTTGGTTCAGGCCACATCACTGGAAAAAATCCAATGAACATACAGACGTAGTAGGGAAGGAGAGGAAGAGCAAGACATGGTGGCTAAGCAGCAGGTGGGCGCCTGTCGGAGCTCTCTGGCTCTCCCAGGCCTGCTGCTTCTGCTTCCACTCGCCCTGCTCTTGGAGGAGAGACGCCAAGGACTGGCTAGCATGACGGCTCCATCTTTCAGACAGGGCAACTGGGGCTTAGCAAAGAAAGGGGACTCACCCAAGGCCGCGGAGCCCGACATACGCACCTTCCCCACGATGGGCAGCTCCACGGAGCCCCACGTGTCGGCCCCCCAGTGCACCAGGCCGGACAAGAAGTCAGCGATGAGCGCCCCTGCGACTGAGGACAGGAAGGGGGTGAGCTGGTCAGGGGCCGGCGGAGGCCCGGCCCTGCGCCCTCCCTCCACCAGGGGGCACTCGTCCACTCACTCGGTGGCCTGCACTCCTTGCTTCGGACGCTCCCTCCCCGCGGAGGAAGCCTCAGCAGAACAACCCCCCCCCCCCGGGAGCTGGCTGTCCCTCCCCTCCGCCCCATACAGGAAGCTCTGCTCGGGTGCCGCTGGGATTGGAGAAATGTCCAGCTGGACCTGGCGTGAACCCCACAGCTCGTGTAGCCACCCGCAACCTTTTCCTTGTCTTTGTTCTCAATGGGCTCAGAATGGAGTGGGGTCTCCCGCCAGACTCCAACGCCATTCACACACTTGAGGGGTCCACGTGACACATCTGGACTCCAAAGCGGGCTCCACTCACTTGCTGTGTGACACTGAACATGTTACTTGACATCTCTGTGCCCTGTGTTCCTCTTGGAGACAGGAACGATGACGATTATACAAAACAGGGGAAGGTATAAAATCAACATTAAGGGGATTTAGCTCAGTGGTGCCGCTGCCTGCCTCGGAAGCGGAAGGACCTGAGTTCCATCCCCGGTACCAAAAAAAAAAAAAATCAACATTAAGATATCCATAACTTTTTTATACTCCAATAGTGGACTTGCCCAGGCGTGGTGGCTCATGCCTGTAATCCCAGAACTTGGGAGGCTGAGGCAGGAGGATCACTGCGAGTTTGAGGCCAGCCTGGGCTACACAGTGAGCTCAAGGCCAGCCTGAGCTACAGAGCGAGACCCTGTCTAAAAAAAAAAAAAAAAGTGAACCAGCTGAGAAACAGTTCAGGAAATCAATTTAACTCATAATCATTTTTTAAAAAAATGCCTAGGGGGCTGGGGATTTAGCTCAGTGGTTCCGGCACCTGTTGTGCAAGCGCAAGGTCCACAGTTTGATCCTCGGTGCAAAAAAAAAAAAAAAAAAAAAAGCCTAGGGATCAACCTAAAGAAAGAGGTAAAAGCTCTACAATGAAAATTACAGAACACTGAAGAAACTGCAGAAGACAGAGATGGAAAGACCTCAGCTGGACATGTGGCACACACCTGTAACCCTAGTACTGTGGAGGGTGAGGCAGGAGGATCACAAGTTTGAGGCCAGCCTGGGCCATTTAGCAAAACCTTATCTAAAAAAAAAAAAAAAGGAGCCGGAGATTTAGCTTGCTGGCACTGTACCTGCCTTGCAAGTACAAGGTCCTGAGTTCCATCCCCAGTACCAAAATATCAAAAAGTAAAAAATAAATAAAAATTAAAAGGAAAGAACTTCCTTGTTCATGGATCAACAGAATTATTTTGCTTTGCTTTTTGGAACAGGGTTTCACTATGTAGTTCAGGGTGGCCTCAAACTCATGGTGACCCTCCTGCCTCAGCCTCCAGAGTGTTGGGAATACAGGTGTGTGCCAGCATGCCCAACTGAAACGAATACTGTTAAAATGGCCATAGTATCAAAAACGATCTACAGGTTCACTGTAATCCCAATGACATTCTTCACAGAACTAGAAAACACGATCCTAAATTTCATATGAAAAGACCAAAGACCCAGAATAGCCAAGGCAATCCTAGGCAAAAAGAGCAAGGCTGGTGGCATCACAATACTCAATTGCAAATTATACTGCAAAGCATAGTAACAAAAACAGCATCGTACTGGCGCAAAAATAGACACGTAGACCAATAGAATAGAATAGAGGACACAGAAACAAACCCATACAACTACAGCCATCTGATTCTTGACAGAGGAGCCCAAAATATGTTGCAGAAAAAACAGCCTTGTTAACAAATGGTGCTGGGAAAACTGGATATCCACTTATAGAAGACTAAAACTAGACCCCTAGCTCTCGTCCAAAAAAAAAAAAAAAAAATCGATTCAAAGTGGATCAAAGGCGTTGGTATAAGACTTGAAACCTTAACACTACATACGATAATATAGGGAACCACCGGAAGCCATAGGCACAGGTAGACTCCAACAGCACTGGAAGGAACAGCAGCACTCAAGTAATGGGACTAAATAGAAAGTTCCTGCACAGCAAGGAGAACAACAGACAGAGTGAAGAGAACGGGAGAAAATCTTTTCCAGATACTCTTCTGACTGAGAATTAATACCCAGAATATACAAAGAACTCAAAATCCCTAACACCAGCCCCACACACCTGTAATCCCAGCACTCTGGGAGGCTGAGGCAGGATGATCATTAGGTAGAGCCCCTCCTGATCAATTTACAAGACCCTGTCTTAAAATAAAAAATGTGTTGAGGATGTAGTTCAGTGTGAAGGCTCTGGGTTCAATCCCTAGTATCAAAAACAAAACAAGGACCAGGGATTTAGCTCAGTCGTTCTGGCGCCTGCCTTGCAAGCACAAGGTCCCGAGTTTGATCTCTGGTACCAAAAA